TAACTATAGTTATCATCATACTTAATGGTAAGAAACAAAACTTTCTCACTAAGATCAGATACAAGGCAAGGATGTCCTCTCTCACACTCCTTTTCAGCATCATACTGGAAGTCCTGGTCAATTCAATAAGACAAGAAAAAGAAATAAAAAAATATACTGATTAGGAAGGAAGACATAAAATTGCCTTGGTTCAGAGATGACATGATCACTTGTGTAGAAAATCCAAAAGAACTAGCAAAATTTTCAGGAAATAATCACAGCAAGGTTTCAAGACACAACGTTAATATAGAAAAGTCAACCACTTTCCTATATACACAATGAGCAAATGGAATTTGATATGAAAAACACAATACCATTTACATTAGCACACACCCACACAATGAAATGCTTAAGTATAAATCTAACAAAGTATGTATAAGATCTATATGAAGATAACTACAAAACACTGATGAAAGAAATCAAAGAATAATTAAATAAATGAAGATATAGTCCATGTTCATGGATAAGAAGATTCAATATTGTCAAATGTCAGTCAGTTCTTTCCAACTTGATCTATAAATTCAGTGCAATCCAGATCAGAAGTTTTTGACCCAGTAAGATATTTTGTGGATATCAACAATCTAATTCTAAAATTTATATGGAAAGGCAAAAGATTCAGAATAGTCACCACAGTATTGAAGGAGAACAAAGTCAGAGAACTGGCACTATCCGATTTCAAGACTTACCATAAAGCTAAAATAGGGGCAGCTGCCTCAGTCAGTTAAGCATCCAATTCTTCATTTTGGCTCAGGTCATGATCTCACAGTTCATGGGATTGACCTCCACATGGGGCTCTGTGCTGACAGTACAGAGTCTGCTAAGGAATCTCTCTCTCCTTCTCTCTCTTCCCCTCCCTCATTCATGTTGTCTCTCTCTCTCTCTCTCTCAAAATAAATAAATAAACATTAAAAAAATAATAAAGCTAAAGCAATCAAGATAGTATGATATAGGCAAAAATAAAAAGACAAATACATCAATGAAACCAGATAGAGCACCCAGAAATAAAATCACATAAATATATTCAACTTAACTTTGAAAAGTAATGAAAGGTAGAACAATGGATAAAAAAGATACTTTTAAACACGTAGTATTGGAACACCATACATACACATGCAAGAAATCAATCTAGACACAGATTTTACACCCTTCACAAAAATTAACTCAAAATGAATCATAGAGCTAAATGTAAAATGCAAAATTACCAGTCATATTAAAAACCATTTTTTCCATATCATGCTAAAATTCTTCTTTGACAGTAATAGGAAATCTAAAAATCTATATTCTACATTTGATATTTTAGACTGTGGACTGACCTTTCTTTGTAAGTCTGGAAGTCTTCTGAGCAAAATCCACAAAATACTCACTGGGCAGTGCCTTTTCTATCATATGACTAATTTAAGGCTAAAAAAATTTCTTGAATATTTTTGAATTTTGAATCAAATGATCTTTAATATTTTTATAAAGATTTCTTTTGGTAAGATCAGTTTTTAATAATATATCTCATACTTCCGTTGCAAAACATCCTTAACTGAAATAATGACCTTTTTTAAACCATCTTTCTATCTAAAAGATGTTTTCTTCTTTGAGTATACAAGAATCTAGACCACTTTAAATCTGTCCAAAGTTACACTCACGGGTTCTTTTAAATGTTGCTTAAATTTTTTTTATTGGGCAAGAATTCTAATTTAATGTGACTAATTTTGTTGTTTCTTTTTCAACTATTAGGAGAAAACTTCAAATAAAAGTCATTATGTATTTACTGATGTAATAATTGCACATTTTATTCTCTTCAATAATTTTCAACATCACAAAAATCTACTTTTTTTTCTTTTTGCTTACTTTTGCTTTACTGCTGCAAAATGCAATGAGTGGCCGAATCACCATGAAATTTGTGACACACCTTTTATTGGCTTCTTTTTCCTCTACCATTCTGGATATAGTACTATCATGTTTATTTCCACTCAATTTTGCATTAATGATATCTTTAGGTGAAGTTTAAAACTTGTTCATACATTTTTTAAAGTAGAAAACCAATTTAATTACATTTTAATTAAATTATTGATAAGCATTTCAATATATTTATAATTTATAATTCCTTTACAAGAAATGGCCTACATTCTATCAAATTTGTTATTTCTGACATGCTTTCAAATAATTTTTATTATATAGAAATGTATTTGTGCTTAAATAAGTATGATAATTTAAATCTGTCCCTATGCTTCTCTTGAATAAAATTGTTGTAATAATGTCTTTTATTGTGACTTCAAAATGACAGTTTAGTTTCATGCAATAAATACATGAACTCAAATCAGAGAGATGCCCCTCTTTATTGCCCAGGTACATGACCTGAGCTGCAGTTTTCACAACTATAGTGGGGACAATAATACACAATTTCAAGGATTATTATGCAGGCTAATTCATAGTGCACAGACCAGATGCCAGCTCCTGGAGATCTAAGAATGAGTGTTATATGATTCTTCATCCAGTGCTCAGAGTCTGGCAGAGAAATAAGAAATGTGGGCCAAAATTATTCTGTGACATGAGTTATTTCACGAACATATAAACCATAATAAAGTAAAAATGTTCAGGGAGGGATAAGAGAAAATTTAAATTTTAACTAATCTTTGCAGAATATGTAGGAGTTGTAGTTTTGCTAGAGTAGAAACCGGAATATAGAAAGATAGAGTTATATAATGAAAAAAGATGAGAATTACAGAAAGGGAAGAAAGTAATCAGAGAAACCTGTGAACTTTCAAGGATTGTGTGAATATACATTAAAAAGAGAACTGAGACCAATTTGTGAAGATTCTTATTTGCCATCTTTTACTAAAGTCCAAACACCAGGCAAGTACATCGACCGAGTAAAGGAGAACTTGTCAGGGGCAGTAAAGAGGATGATGGAGAGCAGCTAATGCATGATCCCATCCAAAGGTGGAGAGTGACTAACTCAGCACGAGACAATTGTTGATCTGTGAGAGCTGAAGCACAGTATTGTCACACCTTCTGATTTTTTCATAGAAGCTGGCAGTTCAGATTTTCATGAGAGGTCTTACAGTTTGTCAAGAGTTACCAATAAATTCTAAGGCTTTGAAAACATCAAAAGTGTTAAACAAGTTTGTTGACTGAATACAGTTTGGGGTCAACAGTTTGCAAACTCTACTGTAGACAATAAACTCACTGGGGGTTATAGCTAGGTATTGACATGATGTCATGTTTTCACAGGCTATATGAATGATAGAAAAGTATCCAAAAATGGATAAAAGATAGAAAGAATTGATACTCAAAGCAAGAGGATTAGATCATAATTGACATAAGAGCAGCTTAGCATAATGAGTGACAGCAGAACTGTGTAGATGATAAGATACAAGATATGGTTTAGAAGTGGAAACCATAGGAGATCTGGAATAGAAAGAGAATAGAAGGAATAGGTGAGAAAAAGACAGCTCAAAATGAGATTTGACTAATTGAAGTTATGGTGATGCTACCAACCGAAGAGTGAAGCCAGGAAGAGGATATTTGAGAATTTGAAAAAATAATACTGAGTTCTACTATGTAATATATTACATTTGAAATAGAACTATGCAGGTGGAGATATTCAATAAATAGTAATGAAGGTTTGGATTTCAAGAGCAAGATGAGGGATGAAAATATTGATATTTTAATTAATTTTATTTGGATATAATTAAATAGAGTAAAATAATAGCTCTAAGAATAGAGTTCAAGAGTGTTGACAATTTATACAACTGTCTTACCAATATCCCAATTAAGATGTAGAGCACTGTTATCACCTTGGAAGGTCCGATTATCTCTTCAAGATCGCCTTCCTCCCAGGGCAATAGCTATTTTAATTTCTATCTCCATGAATTAGTTTGCCTTTTTTTGAACTTGAAATAAATAGGATCATATAAACTTTTGGGGTCTGTTTTTTTTCACTCAATGTAAAATTTCTGGCATTTAACCATATGCATTAGAAGTTCATTCTTTAAATTAATATATTGCTGAGCAATATTCCATTGTGTGAATATGCTACAATATATATGTCAGTTCTCCTGATGGATATTCAGGTTGTTTCCAATATTTTCCTATTATAAGTAAAACTTCAGTGAATATTCTTACACAAATTTTTTGAGGGAGAGACAAATTTTCACATTCTTTTTGTGTAGAAGCTCAAGATGGAATTTCTGCAATTCCATATATATATAATATATATGTATATAAAGAATGTATTATATATATGAAGAGTATAATTTATATACTCTTCAACATAATAGTGCTTACTGTTCATCTTTTAAATTCTAGACATTCTAGTAAGTGTGTAGCAATAGCTCATTGTGATTTTATTTTGCATTTCTGATGACTAATGGTGTTGATCACTTATTCAAGTGCTTATTGACCATTCATATACCTTACTTTTTGAAATAATCTGCATTTAGCCATTTTTATTATTTTTTAGCTACTATTTTATAGGAATTCTTTGTTGAATATATGTATTGAGAAACTTCCTCACCATCTGTATAGACTTTCCCATTTTCTTAATGATATATTCTGATGAGCAGATGTTTTTAATTGTTATGAAATCCAGTTAATTTTTTTCTTTTGTGTTTAGGAATTTTGAAGTTTTACATAGATAAATCATATGCAATATATTTTAGGTTTTCCATTTAGGTTTAAAATGTATCTCAAGTTAATAGTTTGCTCTAATGAAGAAGTCAGAGCTAATGCTTTATTTTCATGTAATTATTCCCATTGATTCAGTATTATTTCTTAAAAGGACTGCACACTGTATTGCACTGGTTCCTTTGTCAAAAGTTATTCAGCCTTGTATAGGTGAAATCTATTTGTGTATTCTCTGTTCTGTTCCATTGAGCTGTCTGTCCTTATCAATTTCACACTATCTTTATTGGAATTTTTTAAAATGTAGATTTGTCCATTGATGTATAGATAAGCTAATACACATACAGTTTTCAGATGTGTCAAGAGCAAACCACTCTGGGAAGAAATAATACTGAGAAAAGAAATGACACTGGAGCTCATCAAACTGTATGGGGCAAGTTACCAAAAAAAAAAATAGACGGTATTTGAAAGGACAAGAAAAAAATGCAAAGAAAGTTATGAACATGGAAATCAAGAAATGAAAGAGCTATGAGAAGAGAAAGTTTCCAGAAGGGTTTCATGCTACAGAAAGTCTTATACGTGGTAATAAATAAATAAATAAATAAATAGTCATTTTGACAATTATAAGAAGTCATTGATTACCTAAGTGGAGACAGTTTTAGGATTGGTGATGGCTTACATTTATTCAATGAACATTTATTGATTGCCTAGACATATTGCAAAGTGCCATGAACAAGATATATAGTCAGCCTTTCTGAAGTTTATGGTCTTGCAAACACACAGAAGTTATATTCCCATTAAGGAAGGAAAGAACGGGTAATGTGGAAAATAAAAATCCAAAGCACAAAAAATCTTTATAGGGTGGCAATAAGAGAAGTAACATTTGGTGGTTTTATGAGAAGATGTTGAGAAAAGGATTTTGTTGTTTTAGTTTTAAGGCAGGAAATGTTTCCATCAGATTTCAAGCAAAGTAGAAGGTAAGAGTAGAAAGAGAGAGTATGAAAAAGAGTCTGGGGAAATTGGACTAATGATAGATTAAGCCCTGTATAGGAAATGAGGTTCCCTAAAAAAAAAAAAAAAAAAAAGCAAACCTAAGGTTAAGTGTTAGAAAGAAAGGGTATGGAAGGGTATGGAAGTAGTGAGGGATGAGCATAAACAAAGGTCAAGGTGGGAGGAGTATATAACATCATTCGTGAGCTCTCCATTCTCGAAGATGGATTTTGCTAAAATTACAGAACTAAATAAAGCAAGACCTAAAATAAGTGATGAAGGATTGTAAGTGCTATTATGAGGAGAAACAGAAGGAACTGATTGAAATAACCAAAAGGCATAATAAAGGCACAAAAGACTCACCAGAATTTAGAGATTTGCATTAAAATATGATCTTAACATACACGTACAGGATTTTCTCTAGACCCTTTCCTTTCAGGAAAAAGAAATGGGAGAAATACATAAAAAAGAGAGACTTAGGTTGATCCTGGGTTAGTTTTGATGGGTGCATATAGTATAATGGGAAGGGTTGGAAAATGATTCTTTGGGGAGTTGTGTCTGAAGGGATTGCCAATAAGCTTTAATACAGAAGAAAAGAAAGGATGATCAACTGAGTGAGGACAGCAATAGCTAAGAAACTTGAAATTAGAAAAATAGGAAGGAAAGGCACAGGAATGTAGAAATAAGAATCTATGATCCAGGGGTGTGCTGCAGCCAGCTACTTCTAGCTAAAAAGAGCAGATTGTAAGCATTTCTTCCCAATCATGCATTCCAGGAAATCCTGGTGGTGACTTGAAATCAGCCACAATGGAAGTGTTTACACCATGATAATCAGCAACAACTAAAAATCGGCCCTCTCTTTCCCCCCCACCCCCCCCACCCCCACCCCAAGAGAACTGATTGTTTAACATTTGCCAGCATTCCACTGCTGAGATCAGGTAGGAAAGACTTCCTATTCTTTTTTTTTCCAGAAGTGATAACAAGGATTAGGATGTGGTCTGGGGAATGTAGTTCAGTTTACTATCAAGTTGCTGTGTATTTATGATGGTAAATATTTTATTAATAGTGACACAGAAGTCATTTAAGATGAGGTCAGGAGAAGATGGTGGTGAGTTAAGAATACAAAGAATTATGAATATGGAGGAAAGACCATGATGTGTCATTGAATAACACTGAAGACAATGGAGAGAAGATAGTGGGTTTGGAAAATGCGAGGTTAATAAAAAGGAAAGGATGGCAATAGCAGTCAGTGAAACAATAATTTGAAAGCCATAGTAAAGATTTAGAAGTATGAATTGAGCTAGTATAATTGAAGTGCCTAGCAAATAGTAGACTTTTCATACACACTTTGTTGTTTTTATTTCAATCCTACATTAAGTTATTTTGCCAGTTTTGCAAATAGCTGAGAAAAGGGACTGCAACTTAGAAGCCCAAAATATTCACTCCACGCAGACAAGGTTTCTTTCTATCTTTAGTTGTAAACACTTTTGTTGTTAGTTAAAAATAAATTCCAACCACTTAAAATAAGTTCCTAGGATAGCATACCTTACCCCAAAAAAGCTCAATTCTTATGCTTATTTCTGTTTTCAAAAATTACTTGATGCTTAGGAACTGACATATTCAGTTTAATACTGAAAATATTTAGGAATTATCATGTCTGCCCACAGGTCTAGTAGTTAAAATATAAAAGTAATTATTCTATGGTAAACTAATAAGAAATTAAAAATCTTGGAGGCGCCTGGGTGGCTCAGTCAGTTGAGCGTCCGACTTTGGCTCAAGTCATGATCTCGCGGTTCGTGGGTTGGAGACCCGCATCAGGTTCTGAGCTGTCAGCTCAGAGCCTGTCTCCTGCTTTGGATTCTGTGTTTCCCTCTCTCTCTGCCCCTTCCCCGCTTGTGCTCTGTCTCTCTCTGTCTCAAAAGTAAATAAATTATAAAAATTTTTTCATAAAAAGTCTTGGAGTGCCTGGGTGGCTCAGTCAGTTGAGTGTCCAACTTTTGGTCAGGTCATGATCTCACAGTTCATGAGTTTGACCCCACTGTTGGGGCCTGTGCTGACAGCATGGAGCCTGGAGCCTGCTCCCTCTCTGTGGCTTCCTCTCTCTCTGCCCCTCTTCTGCTTGAGCTCTGCCTCTCTCACTCTCTCTCAAAACTAAATAAAAACATTAGAAAAATTTTTAATAAAAAATATAAACATCTAAGCTTTAGAGTCACAAGATTCTCTTTCTTTTCATTATATTATTTTTTGGAAAGAAGTGTTGTCCAATGTTCTGTCTCGTGTTAAAATACAATTTATTGAATAATATGAGAAAATGATTTGGAAATTACTCACAAACTGGATTTTCTCGTAGAAAGACAAATAGACACACTATTTTCCAAAATACATTATTAGAAGATTAATAAAAACAATGGAGAAATAACAAATAAATAACCCCTAGCGTATCTTAAACATAAAATAGCAAAAGAAGAGTTCGCACACATCCCCACATGAATTATACTTCCTGGAGAACTGCTGAAACACCTGGAAAGTTAGCTTGAAAAGGGATATTAATATAGGAAATGCTGTTTGGAATTTGATCTCAAGAAGTCTTGAGAAAATGCACTTGGGAAGGCTTTGTGTACTTTCAACTATCTTATGAAACTTGTGTAAATAAAGACTCATTCAACAAAGAACCTATTGTAATTATCCAATGTCCATTTGGACTTCTCTCTGTCTTCCTGAGGACCTCAGTCCTTTGAACCAAATGTTCTTAATAATATTTTCAATATACCAAGTACAAACATATGTATATCATTAGAATAAAACTGTACTTATTCAGGACCCACTTCAAAATACTGACACAAACCCCACAAAATACATCCCCTAACTCTAACTTACATTTAATAAAAGAATGTGCTTTTACACTCTCTGCTTCCTATATTACTCTTTTCTCTCTTCACATCAGGGAATATGAATTCTCAAGCATGAAGGGAAGAGAAACCTCCCATCTTCTCTTCCTGAGCCAAGTTTATGCTCAGGACAAAAAGCAACGAATTGTTGTGCCAGAAAATATTCAATGGCTCCCAGTTCTGAGCTTTCATTTGTAAATTTAGAGTGCCCAGAAATCTCTCAGCAAGATTTAATGACTGCTTAAAGAGCTCTAAAACTTCCTAACAGTGGGGCAGTTCGGAGTAAGGAGTAGGGAAGAAAAAAAAATGCAAAAGGCCTTGACTTTTTGCCAATCCCCATACCCTACTGTTTTGCCATTCCCTCCTACTGTTCACTGACCAAGAACCCTAATTCCTATACTTTTTAAATTTAGCCTGGAGCTGATAAGTCTTTCTCTCCTTCAGCAGTAGAGCTGCCAGACCTCAATACGGAGGTGTTAAAAGAATTCACCAGATTGCAACTTGAAATACTGTTGAGTGCTCCCCACCTTGACTATACCGTGGGTTCCTCAGGAACACGGGGAATGCAGATTGTATTAAAAATAATGTAGAACTGAAAATTAAAAGTAAAATATCTCGGCCACTCACTAAATATGTAACCATGGAGAAGTCATTTAGACCCTGTGCTTCACCCAAGCGGTATAAGTTTGCACAATTGAAAATAAGTATTGCCTATTAAACTATGTCCTGAAACATAAATCTGGATGTATTTATGTGCAGAAAAGTGAGGATACATGTGTGTTCAATTGCCCTGGATGTTCTTTGCTCTAGTTTCTTTTTTACAAACCAATCTTCTAGATTATATAATCTAAGACTCGCTGCTTCGAATGCCTCAACTTGACCCTTAATGCTATTCATGTGAACCTAATAATTCTTTCATGGCAGTGATTAACACAAGGACGGTTTTGATCAATAGGACCTTACAAGTGTTTTTCTTCCTAGAGATTCCAAATTGAAGGCAGTATTATTGGATATAACTATCATCATTATTTTTTTTTTTATCACATAGATCCATAATCTGGAATCAGGCAAGAAAAGTTGGTTGTGTCATAGATGGGCTAGAGAATTATCCAGTTATCTCAAGCTGCGGACATATCTTTGCCTCAAATATCTATATAATTAACTTACATACATTTTAACCAAAATTTTTCAGAGATTTATATTTATAAAGCAATTTATGTGTTTATGCTGAAATTATCCCACTTTCTCTCTTATTCTTGAATGAATTACTTTTTTAACAACGATTATAAATTAAAAAATTATTCTGTTTACTGGGGATTCTGTGATGAAGAATACGGAAAATTTCCGTCCTCATGACCTAAAAATTCTATTTACTCTGGAAAGTTATCCTTGAGTTCCTCAAGTAGAGCTACTGACTATTTGTTCAGAGTACTTCCAGCACTTTGTATCTGTCTCTATTAATTATTGTCGCAATGCACAATCTATGAACGCCACTGTTAAAGAGACTTGTTGGGGTGCTTAAGTGGCTCAATGGTTGAGTGTCCACTCTTTATTTTGGCTCAGGTCCCGATCTCACAGTTTTGAGATTGAGCCCCAAGTTGGGCTCCATGCTGAGTGTGGAACCTGCTTAAGATTCTTCCTCTCTCTCTCTCTCTCTGCCCCTTTTCCACTCATGTGTGCAAATGTGCACTCTCTCTCT